ACCATCATTTTGAATCGAGCCCTGAAAAATGGATATTAATTAGGTAGACAAAAAAAAAAAAAAAATCAAAGAAAGTGACTTGGGAAGCAGGCGGCAGTATTTCAGCAAGTATTAAAGTCCAGTGTGATTGGAGGGCAGGGCAATACATCAAAGGAGGACAGAGCATGGCAGGTACTAGAGCCAGACTAGGACCAGAAAATATGCCATGTTATGGAACTGGACTTTATAAATAATGCCGAAACAGGACTTGGACACGCTGGCAACTGTACAAGACCTTGTTGAGGAAGTCTTCATTTAGTTTAGAAATAGTTTTTAGTGGTGAAGTGAAGCAGCATTGGGTCAGTAGGCCCAGTTAACAACTCTTTGTGAATCGTGTTCAAGAAAATGAAGGATTAGAGTAATGGAACTATGTGTGGGTGTTAGAGAAGGGAAATTCAAACTTTCCTGAGTCATTTATGGCTTATGAGATGGATTAATTGCTGACTCAAAAAAAAAAAGCTGCATTAAACAGAAGGCTAGTCTTAGATAACAAATGATCTTTCATCAGTTAAAACACCTCCTGGGATGGATAGTAAAGGTTTCAAATTGCAGTGGGGATTGAGACTAACTTTAGAGTTTGATTTTTCCGGTAACACCAGCAGAGTTTATTTGCATATGGTATTTCCATGGCTTTTAAAAGATACGATTATATTAAATAAAAGTGACTCAAATTCTAGTTTGGTAATAACCTGCATTTTTTTTTTGTCATTTAAAATGTTGTACTCCTGAGGTACAGCATTTTAAAATATGAGATCATTATATACCGCATAAGTCTCAGTATGCATGCCAGAAGTGCTTTGCTTCACTCGCCTTACATTTCTAGTTTCCAACATGTGTTCAGCAGCAAAGGGTATTAGGGTTTGGACATGAGGCTCATTATGCCTTATCCTCTTACCTATGTCACCCCACCCCACACAGACTCACCATGCACAATGCTACACGCGCACACCTGCACATATCTGCACGTACTATTGAGTAGCTTGATAGACAGAAAACACCCACTCAGGTGTTTTCTTTTGTTCAATGTCTCCATTACCTGGAATGACTCAGCTTCTTTGAGGCCAAAGAAGGGTCCTGCATTACCTTGAAGGCATGTCTCTGGCCTTGATTCTAAGATGCAGTCATCCTGAGTAAGGCTTCTCTCAGTCAGTGGTTCCAGAATGCTAATGTGCCAACCTCCAGGTTGGTAATAGACTGCTTAGCTCTCCAGGCAGAAATAAAAGGAGAGGGAGGGAAAGAAGACAGATCTGTGAGGCATTTGGGAGTTATCACTTTACAAGGAGCAATTTTGTTTGCCCTCTATAAACTATCACTCTGTGCCAGGGTACATCAGATTTCACCATTACGTAAAATTAGTAAAGGACAAAAGTATGCTACTCTATAACTGAATATCAGAATAGCAAAGCAAATGGCAACAGAATGTTTTTAAAATTATTTTAAGAAAGGCATATTTATAACTGCATTTAGTCGTTACCTTTCCTGATGTACTAGATTACACTGGCATGACTTATTTTAGCATAACGAAACTCGATTTTCCTGGCTCTTACTGTTTACTTATTATCACATGCAATAAATATAACATGTTTGACTGCTTATATTTTTTATTTCTTTTCAGGTAAAAAATTCTGAGCAGCTTTGAGAAAAATCTAATGAGCGTAGAAATAATTTTTAATTTCCATGAACAAGTTTCTTTTACATTCCATCTAAAAATTCTTACCATGCTATTAAATTCACTTTTTTTTTACTTTTTTTGTTTTTTGGTTTTTTTTTTTTTTTGAGAGCTTTTTGCTATAGGATACGTGCGCTTGCGTAAAGACAGAGAGAGACAAAAAGACAGAAAGCGAGAAATCACCCCCCGGGGTGATGACCATGCCACAATCCCTTCTCCTCCATTCTTCTCTTGGGATCTTGAGCACACACGCACGTGCTCCCTGTATGAGTTTAAGCCACTAGGTCTGGGACTTGAACCGTGGTCACCTACATGGGAGCCTAGTGACATAGCCATTATGCCAACTGCTAGCCCCAAAATTCACTTTTTAAGATGTAATTATTATAATATGCATAATTACCTTAAAAAGAGCTCATGGCCTGACCACAGTGGCACATATGTAACACTCCACCTCTTGGGAGGCTGGGGCTGCACGGGAGGCCCAGCTTCAGTTCCCAGGCCAACCTGAACACACCAGATGCAGTTGTCTGCACCTTTATGCCTAGCTGATTCAGAGACTGGGCCAGGAGGATTACGGCACAGTGAAAGACTGTCAAAAAAATAATACCGCCCCTTCTTTCATGTTCCTTCTCTCTTTTAAAGGAGAGAAAAAGAGTTCACTCTCTTTCTTTGCTTACTTTATGATTCGGTTCAATTCAGTAACAAAAAAAAAAAAAATCAAAGAAAGTGACTTGGGAAGCAGGCGGCAGTATTTCAGCAAGTATTAAAGTCCAGTGTGATTGGAGGGCAGGGCAATACATCAAAGGAGGACAGAGCATGGCAGGTACTAGAGCCAGACTAGGACCAGAAAATATGCCATGTTATGGAACTGGACTTTATAAATAATGCCGAAACAGGACTTGGACACGCTGGCAACTGTACAAGACCTTGTTGAGGAAGTCTTCATTTAGTTTAGAAATAGTTTTTAGTGGTGAAGTGAAGCAGCATTGGGTCAATAGGCCCAGTTAACAACTCTTTGTGAATCATGTTCAAGAAAATGAAGGATTAGAGTAATGGAACTATGTGTGGGTGTTAGAGAAGGGAAATTCAAACTTTCCTGAGTCATTTATGGCTTATGAGATGGATTAATTGCTGACTCAAAAAAAAAAAGCTGCATTAAACAGAAGGCTAGTCTTAGATAACAAATGATCTTTCATCAGTTAAAACACCTCCTGGGATGGATAGTAAAGGTTTCAAATTGCAGTGGGGATTGAGACTAACTTTAGAGTTTGATTTTTCCGGTAACACCAGCAGAGTTTATTTGCATATGGTATTTCCATGGCTTTTAAAAGATACGATTATATTAAATAAAAGTGACTCAAATTCTAGTTTGGTAATAACCTGCATTTTTTTTTTTGTCATTTAAAATGTTGTACTCCTGAGGTACAGCATTTTAAAATATGAGATCATTATATACCGCATAAGTCTCAGTATGCATGCCAGAAGTGCTTTGCTTCACTCGCCTTACATTTCTAGTTTCCAACATGTGTTCAGCAGCAAAGGGTATTAGGGTTTGGACATGAGGCTCATTATGCCTTATCCTCTTACCTATGTCACCCCACCCCACACAGACTCACCATGCACAATGCTACACGCGCACACCTGCACATATCTGCACGTACTATTGAGTAGCTTGATAGACAGAAAACACCCACTCAGGTGTTTTCTTTTGTTCAATGTCTCCATTACCTGGAATGACTCAGCTTCTTTGAGGCCAAAGAAGGGTCCTGCATTACCTTGAAGGCATGTCTCTGGCCTTGATTCTAAGATGCAGTCATCCTGAGTAAGGCTTCTCTCAGTCAGTGGTTCCAGAATGCTAATGTGCCAACCTCCAGGTTGGTAATAGACTGCTTAGCTCTCCAGGCAGAAATAAAAGGAGAGGGAGGGAAAGAAGACAGATCTGTGAGGCATTTGGGAGTTATCACTTTACAATTTTGTTTGCCCTCTATAAACTATCACTCTGTGCCAGGGTACATCAGATTTCACCATTACGTAAAATTAGTAAAGGACAAAAGTATGCTACTCTATAACTGAATATCAGAATAGCAAAGCAAATGGCAACAGAATGTTTTTAAAATTATTTTAAGAAAGGCATATTTATAACTGCATTTAGTCGTTACCTTTCCTGATGTACTAGATTACACTGGCATGACTTATTTTAGCATAACGAAACTCGATTTTCCTGGCTCTTACTGTTTACTTATTATCACATGCAATAAATATAACATGTTTGACTGCTTATATTTTTTATTTCTTTTCAGGTAAAAAATTCTGAGCAGCTTTGAGAAAAATCTAATGAGCGTAGAAATAATTTTTAATTTCCATGAACAAGTTTCTTTTACATTCCATCTAAAAATTCTTACCATGCTATTAAATTCACTTTTTTTTTTACTTTGTTTTGTTTTGTTTTGTTTTTTGAGAGCTTTTTGCTATAGGATACGTGCGCTTGCGTAAAGACAGAGAGAGACAAAAAGACAGAAAGCGAGAAATCACCCCCCGGGGTGATGACCATGCCACAATCCCTTCTCCTCCATTCTTCTCTTGGGATCTTGAGCACACACGCACGTGCTCCCTGTATGAGTTTAAGCCACTAGGTCTGGGACTTGAACCGTGGTCACCTACATGGGAGCCTAGTGACATAGCCATTATGCCAACTGCTAGCCCCAAAATTCACTTTTTAAGATGTAATTATTATAGTATGCATAATTACCTTAAAAAGAGCTCATGGCCTGACCACAGTGGCACATATGTAACACTCCACCTCTTGGGAGGCTGGGGCTGCACGGGAGGCCCAGCTTCAGTTCCCAGGCCAACCTGAACACACCAGATGCAGTTGTCTGCACCTTTATGCCTAGCTGATTCAGAGACTGGGCCAGGAGGATTACGGCACAGTGAAAGACTGTCAAAAAAATAATACCGCCCCTTCTTTCATGTTCCTTCTCTCTTTTAAAGGAGAGAAAAAGAGTTCACTCTCTTTCTTTGCTTACTTTATGATTCGGTTCAATTCAGTAACATCATTGGTGGCACATCAGAGTGATGTATCACATCAGAGTGATCAGAGTGGAGTATTTCTGCCACCAGCACCCAATACCTTCTGATCTCAGGTGTTGATGTTTCTTTTGGCTGGAGAATAACCCAGGCTCAGATGTTCTAGGTGGTTTTCAATATTAGCTGAGCCATCTCTACAGGATCAGGTTGGCAGGCAAGAGGGAGCAGGTTTGGAATCTTGCTGAATCTGTGACTGTTTCTCTAGGAATGCAGACATGGAGATGACTCTGGAGCGAGCAGTGAATTTGCTTGATGCGGACCACACGCCCCTGACCAGGATTTCTGCTGCCGCTACTTTCATACAGCATGAGTGCTTCCAGAAATCTGAAGCACGGAAAAGGGCAAGTATCATCTTAACACAGTGCAAAACCTAGCACTGTTATGGTGACCCTGCACGCTGAAACCAGTAATTTATTCAATTTTTAAAAATATTTTTATTGATTTTTTTTTTAATTTAAAAGAAAGTATAGAGTGCTGGCCCCATAGCCGAGTGGTTAAGGAAGCCAATCTCACACAGCTGTCCTCAGTTCAAATCCCAGCCCTGGCAGCTTGATAAACATGCCACGTATGTGTATATGAGTATCGAAAATTCTGACAATTGATAAACATGCCACGTATGTGTATATGAGTGTCAAAAATTCTGACAAGACAGAGAAATGAAGAAGGGATTGTGGTGTGACCATGTCCCAGTTGTGTGTGTGTGTGGGGGGTGCTTTCTCCTTCTTATTTGTTTCTCTTTCTTTCTTTATGGCAAGTACATGTGCCATCTGACCATTAAAAATAGAAATATTTTCTTCAAGTTTTATTTGTCATTCCATTCCTTTAATGATTCTTGATTTTAATGTGATCTAGCACACCAACTTTTTCCTTTATGGTTTGTGCCTGTCATGGTGTATCCAAGAAGTCTTTTAATACTCCAAGGTTAGAAGGTAACTTCCTTGGGGCCAGCAGGTGGAGTGGTGATTAAGGCACTGAACTCCCACATGGCAGACCTTGGTTTGAGTCCTGGACCTGGTGGCTTGTTTTCTCTCTCGAGTGCATGGTGCCCTATAGCCAAATTTAAAAATAATAATAATAATAAATAAAATTAAATAAATAACTAAAAAAGTAAGATAACCTCCTGTATTTTCTTAAAGAAATAGTGTAAGTATTAGATTTCATAGTTTGGTCTGTTGCCCATTTGCAGTTAGTTTTGGAGATATTGTGAGATGTGGATTTAAGTTCCTTTTTTGTTGTTTTTTATGTATTCAGTTGCTTAGGTGCCATTTGTTGAAAAGACTATCATTTTACTGCTGAATTATCTTTGTACCTTTGTTGAAAAGGAACTGATTACATATGTGCGAGTCCACTTCTGGACTGTGTGTCCTGTTCCATTGATCTGTTTGTCTAAACTTATACAACTGTCACACTGTCTCAGCTACTGTAGTTTTATCATTAAGTCTTGATATTGGGTAATTTTAGCCCTCTAACTTTATTGTTCTTTTTCAAAGTTGTTTGGGATAGTTAGGTCTTTTGAAGTTCCATTTGAATTTTCGGATTGGCTTCTCAGATTCTTTTTGTGAAAAGTGCTGGGAATTTGAAACTGCATTAAATCTGTAGATCATCATGGGTAGAATTGATATTTTAACAATATTGAATCTTCTGACCCATGAATATGGTATATCTTACCACCTATTTAGATCTTCTTTAATTTCTCTCTGCAGTATTTTATAGTTTTTTTCTACAGGTTTTTCATGTCTTTTGTCAGATTTATCCTTTATCATGTTTCTAGATGCTTTTTTTCAAAAGAATTATTTATTTAATTTTATTTGTTCTTCTTATTGTTTTTTAATTTTGCTATAGGCTCACCAGAGAGAGACAGAGAAAGTGAGAAATGAGAAACCAAGCTACCAGGTTTGGGATTTGAATCATGGTTAGCTTTGTGGGAGTCCCACACCTTAACCAGCATGCCACTTGCTAGACCCTCTAGATGCTCTTATAAAATGCTTTTTCATTTTAATTTTTGATTCTTCATTATTACTACATAGAAATATAATTGATTTTTATATTAATCTTATATCCTGAGGTATTAAATTAACCTATAGTTCCAGTAACATTTTTGAAGTGGATCAGATTTTTACAGGAAGAATATGCCATCTATGAATAGAGACCATTTATTTTATCCTTTGTGATCTGTATGCTTTATATTACTTTTTCTTTTTTCTTTCTTTTTTTTAATTTAAAAGTTTTTTTACTTTTGTTACTGGCTGAAACCTCTCCTACAATCTTGCAGAGTGGTGAGAACAGACATGTTATACTGTCGCTGAGCATAGGAGAAAGGCATTCAGCCCTTTTTTTCCCGTCATTCACTGTGATGCTACCTATCTGTAAGTTTTCATAAATGATCATGACAGGCCAAAGAACTCCTCTTCTACTCTTAATTTAATAAAGTTTGTTTTGTTTTGCCTTTTGTTTTTTAAGAAAAATCAGGAATAAATGCTGGGTTTTGTCAAATGCTTTTTATGCAACTAGTGAGATATTTTTATAGTTTCTTCATTTTATTTTTCCTGGAATAAACTCCACTTGGTTATGATATATTGTCACTTTTTATTTATGTATTTATGTTTAAGGTTGTTGCCACTAGGGCACCTGCTGGAGAGAAACAGTGAGAGAGAAAGTGAGAAATCATCCTCTGGGGGAATGACCATGTTCCAATACTCTCTCCTCCATTCTACTCCTGAACATAGAGAAGACAGTTAAAGTCACTGTTTGAATGTTCTTGTCTGTTAATTCTAACGTGGGTGGCCATTCTGGGTGAATTTCTATTGATTGGATTTTCTCTACATGGTTATAGTTTTTTCTTTGCACACCTGGCAATTTTTATTGGCTGCTAAGCATTGTGAATTTTATCTTCTTGAATTTTATATAATGTAAGTTTTTGTAAATATTCTATGACATAGTTCAGTTAGTTGGAAATGGTTTCATCCTTTAAAATACTGCTTGTAAGATTTGATAGGTAGGACCAGAGCAGCATTTATTCTAAAACATTTATTACTCTAGTCCCCACTTAATAAGCCAAGAAGTTTCTGAAAACAACCAGATATACCATAAATTATGGGGGTTTTGTCCCTGGCTGGTAAGAACAGTCACTGTCCTGGCTTTGTGACCTTCAAGAGTTATTTCCAGAAATCCTAATAGGTGGTTCTTTGCCTTGGCCTCAGGCAGTGTCCTCCCACACATGTACTAATTGGATTCTCTCTTTCTTCCTTCCTTCCTTCCTTCCTCCCTTTCTTTCTTTCTTTCTTCCTTCCTTCCTTCCTTCCTCCCTTTCTTTCTTTCTTTCTTCCTTCCTTCCTTCATTCCTCCCTTTCTTTCTTTCTTTCTTTCTCCCTTCCTTCCTTTCTTTCTTTCTTTCTTTATTTATTTATTTCTCTATTTATTTAAATTTGACCAGAGAGGGATAGAGGAGAGAGAGAGAGAGAGAGAAAGCTGCCAGGTCAGAGACTTGAACCACAGTCAGCCATGTGTGAGTTCAACACGTCTAGCCATTATGCCACCTGCAGGCCCCACTGCTGAGTCATTTTTAATTTGGTAAATAACTCCAGATAAATTTTCCCGAAAATTGTACGAATGTACATACTCGTCATACTCAACCAGCATTGTGTCACAGTGTTCATTTCCATGCACTTTTATTCTTTTTTGTTGGATAATCTAAGCCATAAAGTCATTTTAATAGAAATCTTCTTACTTTTCAGAATCAAGACTATGGGACTAGCAGCTGGCGTAATGGCTATGTCACTGGAATTCCATGTAGTTGACCATGGTTTGAGTCCCAGACCTGGTGGCTTAAACACACGCCAGGTGCACATGTGTGCATGCCCAATATCCTGAGAGGAGAATGGAGAAGGGATTGTGGAGTGGCCATCCCCCCTGTGGGGTGATTTCTTGCTTTCTGTCTCTCCATCTCTCTCTCTCTTTCTGGCAAGTGCACGCACCCTATAGCAAAAACCTCTAAAAAAAAAAAGAGAGAGAGAGAGAGAATTAAGAGTAATAGTTTGTTATTAATCATACGGAGTTACAGAGAAAAATTTTTTAGAATCTTGTGTGCGCACGCACATGGAGTTTTAATTTCATTGTCTTTCATGCGTAAACTAAGCCCATTATGTACTATCTACCTTTTTTTTAGGTTAAGTTTCTTTAAAATAGAATGAAAACCTAATGGCATTAACACATATGAGTTCAAATCTTTCCACACTTCTAGCCACTTAAATTAATTTCATCCATAACTAATTACAGAACTTTTTAAAACTCTTCACCTTGATTCGATCTTTCAAAAAGCATTTGAATTAGTTTTCAAAGAAATAAGAACTCTTTCTGTATTTATATTTCACCCATTTATAGAAAAGGTAAATAAATTACCTCACTACAATAACAAATGCTATTGACCTAAATACCTTGGGAAGCAAACCCAAATTACTCTTGGTAAAAGTGTAACTTAACTAGTAGAAATACGAGTACAGAGGCCACGTCAAGAAACTTAGCAGCTTCGACAGTACTCTGGGAATTGAATAGGCTTCACAGAAGGAACAGAGAATGTGGTGAATCCTGAAGATCAGTTAAATTGAGGCCAGAAAAAAACTTTCCACTAGGGCTGGCACGTGGCATGGTAGTTAAAGGTACTGGTCTCCCACATGGCCAATTGTGGTTTGAGTCCCAGACCTGGTGACTTGCATTCTCACTTTCTCTCTCTCTCTCTTTGTCCTTTTTTGGTCAAATTTAAATAAATTTTTAGAAGTTAAGTAAAATAGTACTTTTTAAAAAAAGCTTCCACTGTTTTTTGTTTTGTTTTGTTTTGTTTGAGAAGTTTTTGCAGTAGGGCACATGTGCTTGCCAGAAAGATAGAGAGAGACAGAAAGTGAGAAATCACCCCAGGGGGGATGGCCACACCGCAATTCCTTCTCCTCCATTCGCTTCTCAGGATCTTGGGCACACATGCACATGCGCCTGGCATGAGTTTAAGCCACCAGGTCCAGGACTCGAACCGCGGTCAACTACATGGGAGTGCAGTGACATAGCCATTACCCCAACTGCTGGTCCCTCCACTGATTTTTTTTACTTGCATTTCTTTAATCATGAAGTTGAGCACCTTTCAGTATGTTTGTAAACTTTGTATTTCTTCAGTCACTTGTCATTTTTTATCTATTGTCTATATTTTCTGCTAAGGTGCATCTCTTACCATTTGTAGGACTTCTTTACCTTATTGTATATTAGTCCATTGTTACAAATGTGGTAAATGGTTCCTTCTGCTTTATTTTTGTCCTTTTTTTTCTTTTTTTTTGAGAGGTTTTTGCTATAGGGCACA